CCCCAAAACCCCAAAACCCCAAAACCCCAAAACCCCAAAACCCCAAAACCCCTCTTTGATTTTCCCAAATTGAGAATTACAAAATAATTTTAAGCTGCTCGTCGTCTTCTTGCTCTTGTTTGTCAAGGAAGTCTGTGTCGTTAGGGTCTTTCTCTCCAGCATCTTTAGGCTCTGGTTCCTTCTCTTCCTCGTCGCCTGCCTTGCCGTCTTCATGGTAAGACTTGTAGTCCGAGATCTCGCTGTAAGAATAGTCTTTGGCTTCTCCCTAATATTGGTCAGCAATGACTTACAGGGTACTGCTTTTCTTCTTCGTAGATGAAGTCTGGCATCCCCATGCTTGATGAATCCAAGTTGAAAGGCTTTTCCTCAAGCAAGTGTTTCACATCGAATGTCAGTATGTCTTTGTCATTGGTTCCTACACAATGTTAAGCTCATGAGTGAGAAGTACCTGCCAGTAGTATTCCGTAGCTTTTAATGTAGTCGAGTCATCTGATTTCTTCGTTTCTTTCGAGAGTCTCAATGATTTCTGCAGCATGGTATTTCCAGACATGTATTTTCTTGTCGTAGGCTCAGCTGAACAACAGTCCATTATCAAAGAACAGCAGGTCTTGCACTGATGTTTTGTGGCCATTAAGCACACCCACATGTTGGCATGTCGACAAGTTCCACATGACTATGGATGTGTCGTCAGAGCCAGTAAACAAGAATCCTTCTTCGATAGCCATGCAAGTGACAGAATCTGAATGCATGCCTTCAAGTGTGGCGAGTTTCTCACCAGACTTGATAGACCAGACATTAACATCGACAGGATTGCCACCTACAAAGATGAGTCCATCGGGCTTTTTGAGGAGGTTGCCTTTAGAGAGGTCATCATCCATGCCTGGAGTATCATACTTAAGCAAATCTTCTTCTCTTACTTCTTTGAACAATAATCAATGGATCTCATTTCCAAGTATATCTGATTTATTAGGAACATAGTTATAAATCACTGTTCTTAGCTGAGGGAATATTGATCTATATTAAGCCTTAAACTACAACTCTTAACTAAAAATATCTTTTATTACTTACACACTCATTGAAGTTTGACTGGAAGATTTCTTTGAAATTTCCCAAATGGAAACATTACCGTCGTAGCTTCCTCATACGAGGAACTCTGCTTCTTGGTATATAATGCCCTGGCAACATGACACTGTGTCACCAATGTAACTATTTTTGGAGCTCGATTCTAATATTGGTAAACAACTATTAGAAACAAGGTTCCAGAGTCTGATCTGGCCATCCTCATGTCCTGTAGCGACTAATCCGCAATTCATAAGATATGTCATACAGCTGATTTCTGATTTCTCAGGACTATCAAGAGACATAGTGATACTCATGTCCTTAGCATCCCAGAACTTAATTGTATTGTCTAAGGAACATGTAAGAATCTTAGGGTGGTCTTCTACATTGCTCATCCCGAGCCCTTCTGGCTCAAGAGTGATGATTTTTAAAATAGAATCCTTATGACCTGACATGTCATGAGATTTTTCTCCCTTCCTAATTTTATAAGCTCGAATTTCGTAATCTGTTAGAAGAATCAAATGTCTGGGATCAGAAACAATTTCTATTTTCTTGATTGGCTCAGTGACAAGTCTTTTCCAGATGAATGGTTTATCCATGTACACGTTGAGCACTCCAACATAGCCAAGCTCATCTGAGATGTATAGGACCTGATCGTCCCAATAAATAGAGGTATAAATTACTTTATTAGGGTTTTTAAGGGAGAAAAATTCATTCGAAAATTGAGTATCAAAAGCCTTCAAATATTGATCAAAGCTTATGGTAAATACAAAATTCTCTTGAGGAACTAGAAGGACTTGGATTATTCCAATTCTGTGAATTGAGGATTTCTTAGTTTCTAGCTCGAAAATACTACTGTATTCTTGCCCATCAGCTACTTTGAAAGTTAGCATTGAACCTTCAGAATCTCCACTGAATAGTTTGAATTTTTCACCTTCTTGTATATCTAGACAAGTGACCCATACATTGTTATCAATTGAGGTCGGATTAATAGATGTGAAATCTTTGATAATTTGAAGAGGTACAAACCAAGGGTACATCAAAAGCTCTCTTGCTTTATCTAACCGCCAAATTCTGAGAGTCTTATCAGTAGAGGAGCTAATAAGGATCTCTGTTTTTTCAATATATCTCATTGCCATCACAGTACCTCCACATCCAATCACTGTCTGAAAGCATGGGTCAGACTTAAGGTTTTTAGGTTCCCATAACTTAATAGTTCTATCAGCAGAACCACTAATAAGAACATCAAGGCCGGAGATTTTACAGTAAAGGAGTCAGCTGACCTCTCCTTTATGCCTCTTATTTGCTCTCTAGTGTAATAAGTTCAGGGTCTTTGCCTTTATCAATTATTTGTTTTTGTTCGACATTTTTCTTTTTCCAGTACCCAAGGCTTCCATTAGTAAGTGCTATGAAGATGAGCTGCTCCTTCTCATCGTAAAAATAGGCTGACAAGAAGTGTGAGTCCACACTTCTAGACACCTTCTTCTTGCTTACTACATCAGGATGGAAGAATTGCTTTTGAAGAAGAAAATCCATTTAAAATTTTAAAATTTATAATTTTTCCTATATTTTTCAAGAATATTGGAAGAAAGGGGTTTTGGGGTTTTGGGGTTTTGGGGTTTTGGGG